CCACTCCCCTCTCTCCCTTTACTCAGTAAACTTCTTTAGGTCCTTCATGTCTCAGTTCCAACTTTGCTTCCTCTGGTCATCCCTCCTGATGTCTATGACCAGGCAATCTTTTATTAAAGACACCCTTCTTCCAAGTGCTTCAGCTACTACTTTGCATTCCTTCATGTGTTTTTTAAATTAACAATAATTTCCCGGTATGGTTTAGATACATAATATCCCACAAGTCTCATGTGCACAGGGGTGAAACTTAAAGTGATTTGAACATTGGGGTACTCTGCTCATTGGCGGATTGATCTGATGCCTAGTTCACAGTTCATTGCACTGTTAAGAGTTAGGCGCAGGTCTGAAAAGGTGAGTCCTGGGACGTGCTCCCCTCATCCATCTATCTCTATCTCTCTATCTCTATTTCTACCGCTATCTCTCTATCATTTCTGTCTCTGTCTCTGTCTATATCTCTGTCTTTCCAAACAGCCATGAGGCAAGCAGCTTTCTTCCATTATACCCTTCCCCCATTCCATCTCTGTTTATCTCAAATGCAAGAAGCATTTAGCTCATCTGTAAGAATTGCCAAAGTCTTAACAGTTCTAGCATTGCTAAAAAAGGCAAAACCAAAGGCAACTTAGCTGTGAACCCCTGTAAAAATAAAAAGGTTAAATACTCCTAATACACAATGGCACAGGACGAACAGTCCCATTCCAAAAGGGAAGAATAGAAGGATAGAAAGGAATTAGATCAAAGCAAGACCAAAACCCACCAGGGCAAACATTAAATCCTGTATCTACATCACACCAACTTGGGCAGGTTATGGTAGAATGTAAACCTCAAAGTTCTTGGGTGACCTTGCCCCATGACCTTGCCAGTTTCAGCCATCTCTTTTAGGGTGGCCCCCTTATTGCCTGTGGCTTTTCTCAGCAAATGATCCATTCCTGAGATTTCCAACTTGTGTCTCCAGTGCACCTTTGGCTTATTCTAATAATCCATGCATCAGCTTATCAAGAGCACATTGCTTGGCCTTCTAAAATTGGGGCAGAAACCTCCATGACCCCACAACTCTTACATTCTTCATGTCTAAAAAAAACCTGCTACCAGGTTGAGCAGTGGCTTACCTCCAACCTCCATGGCTACAGAGGGCTCTGTGGGTCAGGAGAGCTGAACTTGGGGAAGCACTTCCATGGGTGGCCCTGAATGAGTAGGGCACCCTAGAGCTCTCTTCTCAAAGCAAAGTCCTTCAATATAGTTTACCTGTTTACACTCGAGCCTGTAATGGGTAGGTCTGGCCATTTCCTGAGATGCCTTCAAGGTATCTTTCCTATTGTGCTGACGCAGTACTTTACTTCTTTTTAGTAGTGTCAATCTCTTTAAAAATCACATCTACTTTAGCCCCCACTTTATGCGTGGTTCCTTTTGGACCAAATTTTTAATTTTTCAAACTTCTGCTCTACCTTTTGCCTCTGATTCTCACTATAAATGTGACTAAAAGCAGCCAATAATACCCATGCCACAGCCTGAATATTGGGTTGTGTTGAAATTTCCTCCACCAGATGAATTAGTCCATATTCCTTAATTTCAGTCTGCTGCAAAGTCTTAAAACATGAGGAAAGTTCACACAAGCTCCTTGCCAGAATTTAACAAACATAGTCTCTAGTCCAGTTTCCAGTAGGGTCCTTGTTCCCAATTAAAACCTCATGAGGCTGGCCTTTACTGCCCACTTTTCTTCAACATTGTGGTCTTATGCTCTCTAACTAGAATCACACATCATGCTCTTTTTATAGCATTCTTGGACACTTAAGCCCAAATTTTCTTTCTTTCTTTTTATTTTTATCGGTACATGCTTGTTATGATAACATTCATCATGGGGAGTTGGTAAATAACCTGCATTTTCAAACCTTTCTCAATTCCTCCTGCAAACCAACTCAAAATGTTTTGAAACTATATGATCATGTATAGTCCCAGTAATGGCTCCCTTCTCCAGTACCAATTTCCTCTCTATCTAGCTTTTCCATTGCTGGATACACATAATTTTAAAAAAGAGAAGTTTAATTTGGCTCACAGTTTGGGGAAATTAATCCCATGGTCATCTGGCTTCAAGGCAAAATTGGTGTGGTGGGAGTGCATGGCTAAGGAAAACTGCTCACGTCATGGTGGCCAGAAAGCCCGGGGATGGGGAGAAGAAAGGCCAGGGACAAGAATATACCTTCCCAGGCCACAGCCCCAGTGATCTGCCTCCTCTAACCAGTTCCCACTTCTTAATAGCCCAGTCAACTATGAGTTTATCAGTGAGCATAGCAGCCCCATGATCAAATCATCTTTTAAAAGTCCAACTTCTACATACATGAGACTTTTGGGGGACATTCTAGGTCTCAACCATAACAATCATAAGTTAGTGGAATCACATATGAGAGCATTTAATGTCTGGGAGACTTGAAGCACTGGAGTGCCAGAGCCTGAAATTTATTTTGGAAAGCTATCTTGAAAAGGTTTTGACTCTTGGAAAATGTTTAGATGCATTTTCCAGGAGTTTATTCTGCTGATTCTGAAGAAAGGTCTTAATAATTAGTTCTTGATAATGTTTAAATGCTAATTCAGTGTAGATGTGTAGGCTTTGTTGTACCCCAGTTTTATATTTTGATTCAAATATCTTGTGTTTCTTTTTAAGAAAATATTTTAGAAGAGGAGTTATGGAGGGCAAGGACATTTTATATTTCTTTTGTCTCAGTTGTCCTCAATGTAAGAAGTTTAGTCCTTCATACCACACATTTACTCACATTACAACATAATGCCTTATAAGAAAATAAATTGCCTCTGAAGAATATGTTTGCACCCGGTGCTGTGAAGGATTATCAGATGTTTCCTTCTTACGTGAGAAATTCATATGGCTGTAGAGTGGATCTAAAATGTTGAATTTATTCAACATATTCATGTTCTTTGAGGCTCTAAGGCTGGGAAATACAAGAAATGAACAGAAAGAAACACCTGAACTAGCCAAGATGTCTCTCTGGCTATCACAGATGAGAGGGTTGATTTTGCTAGAACCAATAGCAAGAATGCCCGATGGGCAGCGCATGCAGTAGCCATTCTAGCAGAATAAATGGGAAATGCAGCAAGTTCTACAAGTTCGAATGCTTCTGCTTGTCCTTTCTTCTTGTTTGATTGGTCAATAATCCTTTATGAATATCACAGTGGGTGGTAGGTTAAAATTCCAAGTAAACACGGAAATCATCTAGTCCGATTCACTTAAATTTGAAAGGTAAAAGGCTGAGATTCTTTAAGTGTAAAAGACTCTTCTCGATATATTTCTGTATATATCATTAAATGTCAGCATGGGTCTTGATAAAATTTCAGATGAGATAAGAGATAAGAATCACTGATGTGAAGACCTGAGTGAGGAAGAACCAATGAATACTAAACATTCGTGCTAAATATGCATCTCTTCAGCTCCCTGTCTGGAACAGCTCCCAGAGACAAAGACAGGCAGCAGCATCCCCCCTGGAAGTGGCAGCCTAATTTGAGCTCCCTTTGCACAGTGATAAATAAAGCATCTGCAGTGGGAGTTCACTGTGGGGGCTGTTGGTGCTCAAAGATATGTTCTGTGAGGTAGAGATTGCCCCAGGAAATTAAAGAAAACCTGACAAAATGAAAGATGTTGGCAATGAGCATGCATTTTTTCAATTTTGTTAATTAAATCTTAAAAGGAAAATTTTCTAGGAATAATTCCACTGTAGGTAAAAAATGTTTGAGTCCAGATGTAGCTCCTTGAAGGGTACACCTTGCTGAGTTGCTATTTAGTGTGCACACCTTCATTTCATAGTATGGGCTCTTCATCTCCTCTATCTTGTGTGATGTATTTTCTATGGGGAAGAGAAAGTCCTGATTGGAAAAGGATGGACTACAGAATATGTATGAAAGGAATCAATGGAAAATCTACAATAATCCTTCTGGTAAATTGAGTCCCACAAGGACAGCCTCCTTCCAGAACTCACATTCACAATCTACAATGAATATTTTGTTTCTAGCTGGTATGGACGAGGCATCCAGTTAATTTGTTCTTCAGGCTCTACTCAGTGTCCCTCAAAGAGCCCTTAGCATATAGAAAGCATCTCTGTCCTCACAGAGCCCACCGGCACTTACAACGCTTGTTCAAAATAGAAGAATGTTTTCTCTGGGTCATAGGCTGAGTCCTATAACTCCATAGATGACAGAGCCCTCACTTTTCTTTCTCTTCCTTTGTTAGGCAAACCGATAACAGCCCCGATTCTCAGTACAAACTATCCAACCCATTTAACTTTCCATTTTCACAGCTCTGAGGTAATACAAATATAAAATATCATATTTTTCTCCACTCTAGAGCCATTTCCTGGGTTAGAAGATCTTCCTGTTTACAACAGTAAACAGAGCTGTAAGCAGCCTTGGAGTCTCTGCTTTTCAGTTTATGATTCCCAGCCAACTGAAGTCTCTGGGGACTTCCATGCAGCAACTCAAAGCCAGAACAACTCAAAGCCAGAACATGTGACAGGGCTGCTTTCAGCTCCTGCTGCAGTCTCCACAGACTAGAGATTGTCCATCCTTCCCTCTCTCTGCCCCCATCCTTTCCCTGCGTCCAACTAGATGTATTCACTGGATGTCCCCTGCTCCAAACAGTTCTAGATCTCAAGATAGCATAATTACATCTTCTTTCCCTTACTGTGATAAATTTTCCTTTTTCCTTTTTCTGTGTACAAAGTTCTCTTTGAAGTAAGTAATCTTTTGTAGCTGAGATATATCCCTGATTTGAATATCAGATCTTCCAATGTAGAATCTTTTAATTAATAGCATTTTTATACACCTCCACCACAGACTATAATCTCTCCTACTAAAACAAATGTAAGAAATTATAGTTCCATACTGTGGTTTAGAAAGAGAATAGTTTGGTTGATGAATTTGTTTCTTCCTCCTTGCTTGTTATTAAAACATGAATGCTGAATCTAAGTCTCGATTTAACACAATTTTCACTCTTTCTGCAGCACCTGAAATTCTTAGAGGCTGTGCCTATGGACCTGAGGTGGATATGTGGTCTGTAGGAATAATCACCTACATCTTGTGAGTAAAGAAAAACAATCTTTGTACAAATTGTTTGCCATTGCATAACATTTTCTAGATACTCAAAAGTTCTCATAAGAACCAAGATTGCTGCTTAACTTGTTTTGCTTTTCTATTTATACTAAATGTAGTTAATGACAGAATTTTCTCATAATGAGCATTTCTTTATAGTTTATAATTCTCTTGGATCAGAATTTCTCTCCAGGGCTTTTTTCTGTCTTATTTTTCTATAAAATGTATAACAAATTTGGGAAATAATTATTGGATGAGCATAATGAATGTAAAACCCAAGCCCATCTATTATACTGTTTCTTGCTTTTTTATGTTCTTCTTCATAAATAACTAAGCTATTAGTCCTTTTAAGAGGATGAATGGATATTTATTTCTTAAGAAATCTCAAACTGGAACATTTCTTGTCATAATAATTTACATGCATTTGGGCTATCAACTTTGTTTCCTATCTGTGTGCTCAAGAGTCTTGGGTTTAATACCCTACACAAATTTCTCTGGAAGAAAATATGAGCTAAATATTTCATTCTTTAGTATCTCCAACTACTTTCTAATAAAAAATGTTTCAGGAGATTCATCAAAGTGGTGATGGAATTGAAGATGATTATAAGGGAAATCGTAATTCAAACGAAAGTGGCTGGAAAAGAAGGTTGCTGTAGTAAAACTAAAAAGCAAGCTATCAATGAGTTCAAAAGTTTAGTCCAAAATAAACACATTTGTTTGCCATTTAGAGAGTGATGTAATTAGGTTTGGAACTCATAATACACAAATTTGTAGAGACATTTCAGAGGATTAGAAAGCAAGTGTATTAGTCTTGCTTGGATGCCACAAGGAAATACATAGATTGGGTGGCTTAACCAACAGATATTTCTTTTGTCACAGTTCTGAAGTCTGCAAATTTGAGATCAGGTTGTTAGCATGCTTGGAATCCTGTTCCTGACCTACCTGTGCAGACTGTTGTGGTAAAGAGAGGGAGAATGAATGCATAAGTTTAGGCCTCGGCATTCCAAATGTTGCACTTTTCTGGCTGGCTCCAGAATATTTGGAAGAGCCAAGGACTCTCCCAATGAGACATTCCATGAGCAAAAGGCTATAAGAAACTACTTCTTTGTAAAAGTCCACAACTTTAGGATGCACTTGAATTTTTCATGCTCTGCACCAGCCTGGCCAGCTTGAGGAAGATTCTGAGAAGATATCTTTAAACTTATTCATTCTTTTTCCCATTTTTTACAGTTTCTTTTTGGTCCATAGTGACTTCAGAACCTCTACCCGTCCCTAAACAGGAGAAGCTTGATAATCCCAGACTAGCAACTCTCTTCCCCTCTTCCCCCACTTCCTTTGACTTTTCCCCATTCATTTTTATGCTGACCTTGTAATGCAAAATGAATGTGAATGTGTTAGCTTTCTGCAGCTGTGACAAAATATCTGAAAGCAACACTTAAAGAGGAAATATTTGTTTTGCCTCAGTATCAAATGTGTCAGTCCATAGCCAGACCAAACCATTATTTCTAGATTTTGTGATGGAGCAGAACATCATAGCAAGGAGCATAGAGTGGCACACCTCACAGAAGACAGAGGGAGCAAGAGACCGAGACAGAAGCTGAGAGGGAGAGGGAGGGAGGGGGGAAGGGAGGGAGAGGGATAGAGAAGCCCCAAGGACCCACTCCCTTCAACTAGGTCCCTCCTCCTGAGTTTCCAACAGGCTATCAAATTATTGTTCCACTAGTGGATTAGGCATTAATGAGATCAGAATCCTTATGACTCAATCACTTCACAAAAGCTCCACCTCTGAACATTGCTGTTTTGGGGAGCAAACCAACAATTCATAAACATTTGGGGGACATTTGAGATTCAAACTGTAACAGTGAATGTAATGTGATGTCTTTTAGATGTAAAAAACTGAAGGTCATATATAAGGGTGCAATAAATTCAGGCTGTTCATTTCTGCTGGCTGCATCTGGTCACTGAATTAAAACATTTTTAGGGCCATTCCCTGATGATAATTTTAGCCCTGTCTTAGTTCACTCTGCAATCTATACTGAAAGGGGTAGATGTCATACTTTACTCATTTCTATGTGGAAATTCAGAGAATAGGGATGAATAAAGTGTAAAAACTCTTCCTTCCATTTTTACTCTCAATTCCAACTCTTCTATTTTATACTAAAATGAAACTCTAATCAGTCTGTCTTCTTAGTTCTCATGGAAAATCTTTAGCATGATGCCTGTATTAATGTTCATTACTATCATTGCTGTTCTTTATGTCTGAAAGATTCTTATTATAATCATAGCTTTTTGTAGAAATCTCATTTCACTATTCCGACTTTCTGAAGGTGTGATTGTGTTTTTATATTACCAAAAGTGAATTGTGATGAGGTAGTACATACTTGTGCTGCATACACTTCAGTTCATAGCAAGAGGCTGTGATAAAGTCATGAATTTCTGCAGGAATCCGATGAAATGGTCTGCTCCTTAAAGACTGTTTATTCCCTATCTTTTTTCCCTGTAGACTTTGTGGGTTTGAACCATTCTATGATGAAAGAGGTGATCAGTTCATGTTCAGGAGAATTCTGAATTGTGAATATTACTTTATCTCCCCCTGGTGGGATGAAGTATCTCTAAATGCCAAGGACTTGGTAAGTATAACTAACACAAAATGAGGAAAATGACATAAATTCATTTTTAACTAATAGAGAAGCCCATTCTTAAAAATATGCCTCTATTAATAGCACATTTCTTTTTAATTGTAAGGCAATTTTAATAATACTTATTGATGCATTTTCCTTATAGATGATGAAAATAAATGTTTTGACTCATCGCTGGTTAAATTATAACAAATCACCATCATTACAGCATTCAATTAATGCACTGTAATGTGCAAAAGAGATCCTTGCTTATGAAGAAAGTTATGCTAAGTGAATCAAAACATAATTTATACAAAAATTTGTTTCTTACATGGCTTGTTATTATATATCCATGTATTAAATATACTTCAAATGAAACAATATTGTTCACAAAATTTCATTATTAAAATATTCTTATGGTAACATGAGTCCTGTTGTGTTATCATTGGCATTATGAACACGCTCCACTTTACCAATAGGGCTTTCTGCTTTATTTACGTGGCTTCTCATTTACGCTAACACTGAAGTTCATTCGCATTCAGGAAACACCCTATGGGGAAGGATCCTCTGCAGTACAGTATACTTGAAATATTTACTCAGTCCTCTAGAGAAAAACTGAAGCTGACTTCTGAATCATAGAAGATTAAGAGGGATCTCAGAAGCCATCTAGTCTTCCCCTCACTTTAAAGATGAGTCTTCCTCTCATTACAAAGATAAGGTCTGACACGATGCAGACCTGAGTTTGAATACAAACTCCACCAGTTAGGCAAGTAGCAAAATCTTTCTCTGAGCTCACTTCCATCCATCCCATGTGAATTACAGCTAATAGTTCCAAACACTAAGTTTATTAAAAGGATTACATGAGTTTTTAAAAAAATTATATAGGGACCGGGGATTTAGCTCAGTGGTTCGGTGGCCTGCCCGGAGTTCGATCCCTGGTACCACCAAAAAAAAAAAAAAATTA